GTCGTGTCTAGCAACTTAGACTGCACGCTACTGGGGCTTCTAGCCTACCGGCAGCACCGGCCAGCGTTCCGGCTTGAGCGCTCTTCTCACCCTTCTCTGGCCATGATGAGTTCCCCTTTGGTTTCGCGACCCGTGTGTTTTACATTCCAATATTCTGTAGTTGGCAGTCCACCTTAGGTGGAGGGTAGAGCACTGCCAGTCGTGTATTTTTCTCAACTACATGGTTGATCCCAGAATACTGCATTCTGAATATTTCTCTGTGGTAGCAGCTGAAAATGCACCATCGGCAGTTGAGAATGACAACCATGTTCAGGCCCTCTTCCCGCCAATGATGAGCTGCCTCTCCAATCTCCATGCGTGGGTAGCAGAGTGCCAGCCGAGATAGCAATGGCCGCTTTGGCTAGCTTTGCCCGTGCCTGAAGCCTCATTGGAGATTTAGCTGCTTTTATTGGGCCGCTTTAACAGACTCTTATGTCTGGGCCTGCCCAGTATGGCCAGCAGGCGCCACACGGCATTCCGACTACCCAGATGGTATTCATGTAGACTCGTCTAGGCAGTGCCCTTTCGCACGATTCTTGTTATTAGCTGCACGAATCTGGGGAAGCGAGTGTTAGTGAATTCTAGTCAGTAGCCCCTCGTCGTCGACCAGCACGACGTCCGTACAGTACGGTGGCGCCGAATGGGCCTCCAGCCTTATAATTATTAAGGATTACTGTGTTCGAAAGATGTCCCTGACCATCGTAGCATACGGTACTACTGTACTACCGGTACTATGTGGTGTCAAGGCGCATACTTTGGCTCGGGACGGCTGGCTCTACCGAGACGTGCAATAAGCCAGTAAGAATCCATCCTCGGAGCTATGGGTTATTGAAGGGGGCAACGTAAGATCTAGATCCCGCGATCTATAGACATATCACCACGAAGAGAAGGGAAGGTACTAGGCTAAGGACGGCGGAGGTAGGGTACCTAGTGGGAATAAGGATGTAGGACTATCTACTATGTAGGCTGACGATGTACGGCGCGAGGGCAAGCAAGACGCAGGAAATATTCTTGGTAGGTAAAGGAATACACATACACAGTACACACTCCCTGCTGACATTAGATGCTGCCAACAGTCCTGCATCTTTCGATACAGTACTTACCAGGGAGGTAGTAAAGTAACTACCTAGCTGACTGGCCGGGGATGATCCGTTTTATTCCCTGGCAGCTGAAAAGCAGCTGCCGGCACTGGTGCACTAGCCTCAGGTACGCGACATGACATTATGTAGGTTAGGTGGTAGTAATAAATCGGTGACATTGTCGTGTGAAGGCATCTGGTGGTTCCGAAATGCGATGTGCTATAGACCACGAGATTATGCTGAAACCCTGATACTGATACCGATGGTGCTGCGATAACCACGACCGGGCACCATGATTACCAAATCTCCTCTCGCTCCGTTGTCTCCCATGCTTTCCTTTCGGAGAACCCAGCCGATACACCGATATGCAGGTACCGCAATACGCGGCCCACTCGGCGACGACGATCTCAAACCACACCCCTCTCTGCCCTTTCGCTGCCCTCTCTCACGAAGCTGTCAAGGCCATACCGGACACCAAGTAACAAGTAACAGCGCCGGTTCGACACCATATATAATCGGGTGGGCGGCACGTACAGCATCAGCGAGGTCATGTCTCTCTCCCTGGGCCACACAGGTCTGACAAGGTAGCACGGCCGAATAAACCTCTGCCCAAGTGCCTACTCGGTCCCAACACGCTGTGGAATGGAAGCAGTGATGCGGTTTAATTACATATATGCGCCTCGAAGATTGATAGCTGCTTACCTACCTACGAAGTATGTAGGCTGGTTACTACCTCCTACCTGTAGTACCCGTACCAGGTACCTTGGCGTCTTGCTCAATCTTACCATACCTACATACCTCAAGTACCGGCGATACCACCTCCCTCTCCGTTACGTATCATCCCATCCCATCCTGCCTACATTATACAGATACATACATACTACCTACTGTGTATGTAACTTGCTGCTGCTCACCAACATGTACCTATTACCTGGTGCAGGCGAGTGCGGCGGGTGTTCCGAAATAGGATCACTACCTAACTTATCCATACTGTCGATCAAGTCAACTAGTTGATCGACGGCTTCTCACAGATGCTTTACAGCATTTCTTTCAGGTTAGGCAAGTGCCGCGTTCGTATTGTCCATGCAGGTCATCCCATTCCCAGGCAAGAAGAAGTCTCGCCTCTTGTGTCCCTCTGAATGGTCCGCCCTCTATCAGTATCTCTATTCCGGTTATCAGGGTGGGCGATGTACTGATCAGATCAAGCCTCACACCGCTGAACACCCATTTCAAAGATAGACGCATGGCATGCCAGGCCGACTCGGTGCCGTCTCAGACCTTGACTTTGATAACCGCTGCCGGGCACTGTTGGCCTGATGTGATGATGGCTTCAGCGCGTTGTCCTTCCACCTTGGGCCTCGTATTCTATGGACCATGAGACGGTCCACGACAGCAATAAAAGAATCTCCTCTCGTTTCCTGCTCATAGCCCCATAATGGGAAGCCGGGCGCGCCCGCATATCCCGCGATGTTCCCTTCCTGGTACCTAAAATTGATAGGGCAACCTTCGTCAGAGTCTTGGCGCCGTGAAGGTGCCTCACAAGCGCGCAGTACCACCGGCTTTCGACACAATTTCCCACTTGCTCGGTCTCTTTCAAGTACATTGTAGCTGGTCTTTGGCAATGGCCGACCGCATCGCGGTACCGATGGTGTGTCCCCATTCAGACCCATGTCAATTGAGCCTGCAAATCGCCCTAGGCCCCTGATGAAACCGCAGCGGGCTGATGATACCCTTGCTGCAGAGGTATATTCCGCCGGCACTTCTTGGCGCCGTACCTACACGCACTTAGCTGCTAGCACCGAAAAAAACTCCTTCTAGGCTATGTATCGACTTCTTCTCAGGGTCGGCCGTTGAAGCCCCTTTGCACCTTTGGGAGGGCCCTAATAGTGCTCGCTGCCGGTGCTGATAAACCATGCAGGCAACGCATTCTAGCCTTGGGTACATCTCATCTCCCACAAAGGCCTGGTCCCTGTTCGTAAGCTCCATCATCGAAACATCCCACAACCCGAGCATCTTGACGAGAGCGCTACTCCCCTCGTGATCCACCTGCTTTCCTTTTCTTCCGCGCGGCTCGTCCAGGAGGGTCATGGAGTCAGAGACCCGGACGCGTGCCGTTATGATTACAGTATATTATGCTTACGATATGCCTAGCTACATCCTACATGCAAAAGATGAAGGAGTTGGCTATTTGATGCCGTCACACCATGCCCCACCAAGCTCCGCTGGTAACACATCATATCAGGCTACGGCTCTTCGGAGCAACTCGCCACAAACCCTTCAATACCTGGATCTACGGTTGTAGCCCTACCGAACTTCTACCCTTTTCTTGAGCAGTAGAATCATTCCAGACAACTTCCAATGGCTCACTATCAGGTCTGACTCACAGTCCTTCTGCTCGATGCCAACTTCGCCCACCCTTCTCTTCATCAGTCAACTTCTGAGAGTGAGTCCCTTTGCCCATCGATGCACACAAGCAAGGGAACTGACTTGAACCAACGGGTTGAAGTAGTCTAATTGAACGCATCCGGGTTTGAATACCGTAGACCTGTTAATAAGCATAAGCACTTACAGCTTTGTTCTGTGCCCAGGCGCGTACTGACCTTTTAACAAGGAAGATCTCTGTGATCTTCTCATGGTTGACTCCTTGTAGTCCCTCTGGGGTTCATAGGCGGCCATCACAAATCAACCCCCTTGCGCATTTCGTGGTCCACTCCACTCGCACATCATGTCTCGCTCGCTACCGATTCGGATGTAATCCTAAGTAAAAGTATCGAGACCATCCCCGCAGATTCAGATGTGCACACCCACTTAGATGCCTAAGTTCCTATTGGCTTATCCTCTCAACATTCTTAACTATCGTTATGCGTTCATCCGCCATATCTCTGCCCACCTCATATCATGGCTAGCCAATAGGTGGCGCATAGACGCCCCGACTTGTGTGCTCTGCTTGCCTTCGCGTACCGTTGGACATATGTTTGTTTTCTCTTTCTGGCGTGAAGTGGATATAGAACTATTGCCTCATCGTGCAGACATGTCAGAGTTACAGGACTATAGTAATGCCTACGTGCTGTAGGGAATATTGTATTAGAGTTAGGCAGGTCCCATGTCTCGGGGTACCTTTTCTCTCATATGCAGTGCTTCCAAGACTAGTTGCTACTGATATTCCGGTCGCTTGGGGGCCGTGACGGCAAGGGTCTTTCTATTGCTCCTTAGGCACACCTCCATAACACGGCATTAGCCATTCAGCCGAGAACCAGACACTTCGATGTCGCTGGAATTCGGAGGCTGTCGCTGATGCTGCTGTCCAAGACACAGGGCGTGTGGCTCAGCTGCCCCCTTACACGGTTTCTTCACTGCGACTTGACTAGGCCAAATACCGTACACCTCTTTCCGAGAAACCTAGCCTTGGAACGGCCTTGCTCCAGTCTCTTCCCAATACCGCTACCGTTTCTGGTCAATACCGTATCAAGTAGTCTAGGCTAACCCAAAAGGAAGCAGCACGGCTTTTGGCCGTCTCCAACGTAGTCGCAGCGCGTGGCGCCCCTGCTCATGTCCGGGTTCCCTCGAGACATTTCTCCGTGGGAAGGCGGTACCGTTCGGTATTAATCCCACCTCCTATCGTCTTCAAAGAGCAAGGGGCTCCCTCGTAAGAGTGCTTTACTACGACCATGGGTAACTAGCCTTCAAGGCCCCATCCGTACATAACGTCGAGTCCGCCACTACCTCGACATTTTGAGGCGATCGACCCCACTAGCCCAAGCATCGTTCGAGGTCTACATTTTATATGCAGCCAGACCCGAACTTTGCGACAGGCTTCACCAAGTTCTTTTCCATTCAGGCCGTATATCTATCGTTTGCCCTCTCAATAACTTTGTTATCACATTTCCCCCCTTTGACTAGCTAGACCCTCGTTGGAAGATAACTTGTCATACTTGACGGAAACTCCCGCCTTTGCTCCCCCACATCGACAATACCCTCTTTTAGGAGAGCAGATCACTGTACACTGAATAGTGTCTTTGGGCGCAACTCATTACAGGTTACCTTGTTGGGTCGTTTCTTGTTCAAATCCAAGGACCTCGGGAGTGATCGAAGCAAGTCAGCCCATAGAGGTTTATTCTTGTTTGCAAAGTAGTCACTTGTCTTTTCTATCGTCTTATACCTCAAGGCCTATCCTACAACTATCGGTTTCTCTTGGTTGCCACAACGCTTCCCTCATAGGCTGTCAAAGGCAGGAACTTAATAATATACCCAATCGAGACCACGCGGCAAAATATTTTCCAATGCTCCTTACTAGACTACCCGAAACAGAGCAAAGCCCTTGGTCTAGAAAATTTGAGACCACCTTTCACAAGTCGACCGGCTTACGCATGTCCAGCTACGACGGCTCGCTTTCCACACAGCCTGATTGGCAAGGGCACTACTCCTTCCTTCCTCCCGGGGAGAGCAGCATTTTTGGGCAGTCGTTTGAACAGGTACCAAACTCCAGTACCGACAATGACGCTACCTCGCAGCAGCGTCCTTCGAGTATCTCGAACAGTAATTTGGACACGCGTGGCCAGACAAGCTCAAGTACTTTAAGCTCACCAAGCAACAACCACCGTGTTCTTGATCCCTTAGGTTTGCGACAGCCTAAAACCGAGCGCCCAACTCAAGACCAGCCAAGTGTTTCAGGGACTTCGTATGCAATCAAGACAGAAGCTGTCCACGACGAACCACTGACATCTGCCGAAACCGCAAGGGTCACGATTGAATCAAACCCACCCACCTCTGTACCAGCAAAACAGGATCTTCACACTAGCCTCGATGCGGGTGGCAACGAAGAGACTATTCTCGGCAAGGAAGAAGATGAAGAAGTTGTAGATGACGACGACATGATAGAAGGGGACGGGGAAGGCGATGGTGAAGATGAAAACCCGGGTCAGCCTCAAACTGCGGCTGAACGAACTGCTGCTCGTAGGAAAATGAAGCGCTTTAGGTAAGGGACACATGCAGATCTTTAGACTTAACTAACACCTTGCAGGCTCACACACCAGCAGACCAGATTCCTCATGAGTGAATTTGCCAAACAGCCTCACCCAGACGCAGCTCATCGAGAACGCCTTTCTCGTGAAATTCCGGGCTTAAGTCCTAGACAGGTTCAAGTCTGGTTCCAGAATCGGTAAGAATGGAATAGCAAGCCCTAATCCTGGTAGTTCTAACGACACATAGACGAGCCAAGATCAAGCGAATGACGGCTGACGATCGCGACCGAATGGTTAAGATGCGTGCGGTTCCTGATGATTTCGATAATGTTCAAGCCTTGCATTCCCCTTACGGGGCAGTCCATGCCCTAGGAACGCCCATAACGCCTCCAGTAGATTTCGGGTCATCTTCCTTCACAGACCATATTATGCGGCCGCTACTGGTTGACACAATGAGGCGCGACAACGAAGATCACCTCTCGCCTACGGGACTCAGCCCTGCATTTGGTAATATCGGGTTCACGCCTTCTGGGACAATGACCAGCTCTGACATACTCTCTCCCCTGTCGCCTTCATCCAACGAACGGGGATACTATTCTAGTCACTTGTCAAGTCCGCTTGGGGGATCTTCTAGAGCGTCAAACCCATTTGGTAGGCATAATAGTTTAGATGCGGGGAGCCAGCTGCACTCGCAGTCACGGCAGCATATCCGTCCTCTTCAGCCACTCTCTCTCCGAGAAACGATGTCCAGGTCTAGATCGGATAATTTACAATCACCGCTCCGATCCAGTATGTCATGGAAAGGAGACTCGATTGACTACGCAGGTTATTCCGGCAGTAGTCACAGCCCTGGAGGCACTGGGAGGCATACCTCCGTCTATCAGCCAGACGCAAGTGGAAGTAGCTCTGGTGGCACGTTGGGCTACGATACAGGCTCTTATACAAGTGAGAAACCATTACAGTCCGTTATGATGTCAGGCAACTTGCTAATAGAATGGCAGCTTCTGGGTTACAGTCGCCGACAACAAATATCAATTACTCAAGCCTTCAACAGCCCTCGCAAGCACGGTCTCGACTGAGAGCTGCTTCTGCCACCCTGCCACTTGGCCTCGATTTGAGACACCAATACCGCTCTTATTCGTCCAGCCATGGCCTCCAGCCTCCTAGCCACTCCTCCATTCCTAGAACAGCTAGCACTGCGCCATACGGCACTTCCCCAGGGTATTCTACGAGCTTTCCCTCAGCTCCTCTCACTGCGCCGATTGATTTTTCTCTGCCAAGAACACCTGGTATAAGGAGCTCGATCCAGGACTATTCAATACCGCAGATGAGTGCGCCTATTGCGCCTCCACACGACTTCACTCAGGCACTCCATGGAAATATAGCTGGCTCCAGCTCTAGGACGCCAATAAGGGATTCTTTCAGTGGGGGACCTCTAACATTCGGTCAAGGTCAGGGGGCTGCCGACAAAAGTGAAGACCATTCTCATGATGGATTGAGCGGATCAAGCACCGGCCTGAAGCGCAAGCGTAGCTCATTCAGTTTATCTCAGGTTCCGCATTCGTCCGGTCCGTCACAAGCCTCTCAACCATATGGACATACGAGTTAACGACCTGGAAGAGGGTGGACCTCCCTTTATACGCGAACATCAAATACCGACGCAGTATTCCAAAGACTCGAATAGCGTCCGCTGATTGCCTTGCTTCTGTTTCTTCGACTATAGAGCCTTTTCTTGCTCCAAACACCCGCCGAACCAACTTGTGTTATTATATCTTCCGGATCTTATGTTATTTATGGATTGAAACTTCTTTCCCAAGCATTTGAATTGACCTCAGGATAGTTGGAACGTTTTGCGAATAGGAGCAATCACCGGTATTTGGCTAAATGGGAAACGTTCCACACGCGTGGGGCCGGGAATGAGACACGGGCTGAAATGATCTATAACAAAGACAACTAGCTAGCCAGCTTGCTAGCCCAGCAAACTAAAAGCGTCGTTAAATAGTATATAGAAGCTTCGATGGAAACGTATGCCATGTTCCCATTGTTATACACATGCGAGCTATCATCAACCAAGCTCTTTCTGTATTATTTTATACCCTTAGACATGGACAGGAGAGTATCTGGTATGGAAGCCTTTGGAGACATGTAAGACAGCTTGGTCAGCTGGGAATGACCAATATGGTGGTGAATACGTCAAAATGATAATTTATCCTAAGGACTACACGTAACACGACCAACAGTTCCTATGTGACCCAATGTACGACCAAATGGCTACTACCTCGATAGTTTATCTTCAATTATGCTGGCAACACTTCACATGAACCCAACATATGCTCTCGACTGGGAACAAGCGGAGATACTAGAACAAGTCACACTAGAACAGGTCGGATTAGAGTCGACCGTATACGAATATTTCATGCTACACTTGAGTCAGCGTGCGCTATTCGCTGGAATATCTAGTCTCGCGGGCTCGCCTCGAGCCCAAAATGTTGAAGGAGACTGAGGCCTCATAGTTCTCCAAGCCCCTTTGTCCGCACTTAGGAGAACCAGAAGCCTTCAGAAGCAATAAGTTCCTCGTTGAATCAATGTGCTACTTCCGTAGCGACGCGCGTCCATTTTTTCATTTATTAATTTTTTCCCGTGGAGCTTGGGAGTCCTACGCTGGCGTCGAGCTCGAGTGTTTGCCACATATCCTATTTCCATGTACAGGCATATTCCCAGTACAGAGGTCAGAAACTACACAAGGTACACCGAAGTAGTGGTTCTAATCCACTACCAAACCTGAGATAGTATTTCATAAACGTAGGGCATTCGCAGAGGCAACTTCGATGCCAGAATACAGCATCAAATTCACATGTATGGCATGTTATCATACAGCCAAAGTTCAGTAAATGCTATGAGAGCTCTTAGGTTGACTGTCATAGACAGGCCGCTGTAAGGCAGCGGGGACCGAGCCTCTCTGTCATTGAGAAGATGCCGGTGGTAGGCAGAATTATTTGATGGTGCCCCTCTCTATCTTCTTGGTGTAACTCTGCGAGAGGGGGGGGCCTCAAGGAGCAATCCAAAAGCTGTGCGACGCCTCGGGGATCGTCCATGTCCACTAGGTGTGGCACATTGTGGACCACGCGAAACACTTAACCCTAATCCCCAGATGCTACCCTAAGACCAGACACAACCCAGAAGTCCTTCGTAGATGGACGCCGGCCATGGCCGCCTCCTCTAACCTTGCTGCCCCGTCGGACAGTCTTTGGAATGCCACTGCTGTGCGCCTCCCCACGACGTAAGCACGACCCAACTGTGTAGTTCGATTTACACAAGCCAATTCGTTGCAGAACACAACAGGGAGTCGGCCAATTGATCAAGTCAGCGGGTCTTGGTCTGTTCTCCTGTCGTCGGAGTGACTCTATGCATTCCCGGCAGAGGAGAGCGAGAGAGACCGTACGATGTCGATGTCTTAGGCAGTAGAGACTGGAAGACAACTGCGATGCGACGTCTGAAAAGGCTCTAGCATTCTGGCTAGATAATGCAGCAGATACTCTAGGCCTCATCATCCGTGCTGTGAGTGGCCAACAGCGCGCTTCTGACTTGTTCTCTACTGCCGGCAGACTGGCCTCGACCCCATTCTCATTGCATCGTCGTCACCCCATGTCGATAGCTTGGCGGTACGGTACCTGGCCACTGAGCCATCCAGAATCGACGCTAAGAACGGGGACATGAAGGCCCAGAGCCCATGTCTCGTTCCGGCCTATTACACTTTTCTTTAACCTACGTACCTATGCATACTGGTGGTCATGTATGCTACGTCTGCGGGTGTAGGTCGCACTATAGCGTCACACCCCACGAGCTTCGGCGGCCATCGTACAGCACCAGACATGCAGCCGCCCTTCTACCGTTCAGGCACCGTCACTACCCTTCGGAAGCCTTTTGTGCTCGAACCTGGTTTGGGATAGCCCAGGGTGGCCGGGGGCCTATGCCCATTCCGCCACGGTTGGTGCTCCCGTCTTTGCGAAACCAGTTCCTCGTGGGCGCATAATACATCTATCATTCAGGTTAGACAGTGATACCCTCTTTCAACAAAACCTCCGCGGCCGCGACTCGTGGTGTGTCTCCCCTAGCACGAATGTTCATGCAATCATGTGTGTGAATGTATGCAAGTGGTGCGTGTGTGGTGTGTGTATATGCGAGAATGTACGTTTCACAGAATCCGGGCGCAAGCAGTTCAACCTGAGACCTGGTGCCATCTGTACAAATCTAAGGTTGGGTTCGACCAGATGTCAACGCTGCCATTAACAAGGGGCAGCAAGTCTGGGACCTCCCAAGTCGACTCAGCCCAACCACCTACCTACCTAACCATAGCAGGTAACACGTCTCTGGACTGGCTGGTCTGGCTTGCACTGCTGAGTAGTTATGGATCCCATCGAAACAAAGTTTCTGGGTTGTTGTCTGCAAGTCGCCGTTGAGAGCCGAGCCAAGGGTATAACATGAGGTCTTATAGCTCGCCCCCATGCCTCCAATCGAGTCACCGTGGAGCTTCCAACATCCCCTCTTTGGGGTTTGACGTTCCCGAAGCCCCTTGCACGTCTACGAGCTGTGTACTGTACCAATGCAACAGGTATGCGCACCCCTTGTTGTCATGCCGATTCATCCTGGATAGTACTCACTACCGAATTATCTATCTGTGCACACAAGGGTAGCACTGAGCTCCTTTCCGGGCCCTTGCCAGTCATGCTAGATCTCTGATCTACTGGGCTCTAGGCTTAAACTGTCTCTTTGTTTTTTGTTTTTTTTTTGTTTTGTTTAAAAACCCCTGCTGATGAAGCCCTCATCTGGTAGACCAACCCAACAGATAGCCTTGAATGGATCCGGTTGCATTTCCCGAGTAATGGTCAAACCTGCTGCAGTGGCAAGTCACGTCACCTCAGGTTCTATAAATCAGTTATTCCGCGTTATACAATAACCTTAATACAGTCATATCAAGTATCCTTCATCCGATCCACCAAAGGCTGACAAGTTCTTATTTCGGAGCTAGTCATCAGCAATCAGCTGACCTTGAATGACTTGTGCCATTCTCCAGCCTACTAAGTTACCTGCTAAATAGTAATATCAACCGTCAGTAATACAGTCTGTGATTTGCGACCCAGCACTTTGCTCTGTTTGAATGTGTGCCTGTGACTATGTTACGAGGTGGAAGGATGGCCAGCGATTTTAGGCAAAAAGTCAGCGCCCTGCGACCACACCGCTTACGGTCAGTCAGGGGAAGAAGACTTATTGAGACCAGACCGACGAGAGACCGCGCTGGCCACTCGGTACTTCATCAATAATAGTATGATGAGAGTTACTATGTAGCCCAGATATCACACGCTATGCTCACGGGTAGTGCCGATTTGATCACAATATCATGGACACTTGAGACACTGCCACTTCAAGCCCACTGTTCAGTAGGCGCGGCACATTTCGGCTAGAAAATATTGGCACATAGGTTTGCTAGATTCGGAAGCACTTGATCCACGCCGAAAGCTTGGCCAAACCTCGGTACTTGTGAGTGAGTTATGTGCCAGGCCAGGGACGCATCTCAGTAGCACATTAGCCATATTTCCGGTGAGGGAGCTATGGCTTCAAAGACCGTGCAGAAGTCAATCTCAACTGATATCAGAGACCAATAACAGTCTATGGGTCTGTGATATGTCCAGAAGCATAGTGCCAGCCACGAGTACCGCCCGACTACGAAGAAAATAGTCATCTTGGTCTCGTAGAACTTTGAACCTTCTCAAGAATGATTCATTCACAAACCGATAGTTCTTGGGGTTGACCATTGATCATGCATGTCTCTTGTCTCGCCACATGACATCACAACGCGGAATGATCATGACGGCACATAGTAGACAGTTCGTTATCTGGAACTTCAGAAAGGTTACCGGCTCTGGGTGCCCGGTTTTCCTCCTGATGTCGTAGCCAATACGTTTCGCTGGATAACCCCTTCCCGGCTGTATCGGGTAGCATATACTCCCTCTATTGTCCGTAGCCCCACGGGGATGCAGGTCAAATTGATTACACCGAGAACGTATAGGTACCAAGCTTTCAAATGTCCGGGAAGACAAGGTACATATGCTGTATCGAAGGAACCTGCTATGTAAGTAGGCTCGCGCCTCGACCAGCTACTTCGAGTACCTTTAAATCAACGCAGCGATGCCCCTTGATAGAACATTTTTAGAGTGTGAATAATGAGTTATAGAAACTATCGACTAGTACAACATTCTATTAACTACGGCAGTCAAGCCTTGCTAAGACCAAAGTCCTTGATAGAAGTCCAGCCTAGGCTAGAAAGCACATCACTATGTAAAAGGCTTCAAAGTTCACCATTCGTAGTATAGATAGTATCATCCGCTTACCCTAAGTCGCTTAGTGGACGATTTTTGTAGCCTGCATGACGAGCCGTTACTCTGTCTATCTAGTAGCAATATTGGTCCCGGGCCGTATCATGTTTGCCAGTAGTATAAAAGGTACCTATGTACGAAGTACCCAAATATGAGCCGTGACTACTGGATGTTCAAGAGAGTTCCAGTTGCCCGTGTTCGCGGTAGACTGTCCATTAACCAAGGCCGATGTCACCTCGTCATTTTCAGAGAGATAAATCAGGACGATAAAGTGATATCAATCAGACGGTCAAATCATGGGTAGCTCAGGGGGCGAGCCCTTGTGTCCATGCCTAGCGCTCCAGCAAAGGGGTGGTTGATTAATGGCAGGAAGTGTAGGTACAAACAAGCTACACAGACGCTATCTAGGAACAGGTAAATGATAATCCTCCGTTCCCACCCACATTGCCTCCTATCCTCCTTGTCCGCGTCTAATCTTGCAGTCACCTTCTGTTTTCGCCATCGTCTGTGGCGGCTCATATAGGAGAGAGGGGTGACTTTCAACAAAGCCCGGCAGTCGTTTGCCTTCTCCTTCGGTCATCATTCAGCAGTGGCCTGACGGTCTTGATACGTACAATAGGTCGCAAGTCTCTGGAAACGGTAAACCCAGTTGAAAATGCAAGAGATACTTCCACGGCGTGTTCCGAATAGGTAGATATTTTAGCCGACTATCAACAAGAGCTGCCGCGATGGCTCGCGAAAGGGGGAGAGCCATCGATTCCTATCGTCAACAAGCTTTTCCCCTTAGACACCTACAATAGCCGCTGGTTATAGAGACCTACAAGACAGAATATAGCATGCGTTGAATATGTTAAATCGGAGCCCTGAATATATAGACATCATTAATCGCCATATGAAATAGATCGTGTAACTCATTTATATGTAGAGAAGCTCCAAATCCGCACATGGTCTGCCTTAATGTATCGAAATTGCGCTTTATATCAAGCGAACCTCTAGCAGGCGGAATAGTGATTCTGGCGACCCGGCAAGATGGATCATCTTGTAATATGGTGCATAGAGGCTACAGTCAAGGGGTTACAAATGTTACTAAAATCAACAACGTCTCTGTCATACTTATTCACGAATTCTCGAACAGATCCTTCTACCCTACATCAAACTGTGTTGGGTTGTGGTCGGTCGCTCCTCTCAGGAGTTGAAGCCATCGCCGCCCAGTGCTTTTCAACCCTCGGCTGCCACCAGAAGAACCTATCAAAAACTTGTACCAGCTAAACGTGGCAAAAACCAACGATTCTCACTCAAGACGCTTTCATTATAGAGTAGTATCCATACGATAATGTCCTATCCCATAACGCTTTCGTCACCATCAAAAGCCTCTAGAGCTTGCTAGAATTTAACGACCCTTTTATGATTGGTAAGTGTACTACTTGACCCTAGGTTCCTCGGAGCAATTCTACCTTCTTTACAATCCCGATGGGCCACTAAATCCACTTGCGATGTCTCACCTCCTTTTCGGATTTTGATTTCGACCATGATCAAGTACGAAATTGCACGAACGGTATTGAACGAGACCGAGAAAATAACAAGCTCATACACACATTAAAGCTGAAAAGGCTTTTCAACAAAGGTGCCAAGGCAAGGGAAGCTATCTTCATATGTCTTCTGCATACTAATCTGTCATGCAAGTATCATGCGCTTACAATGACGCAGACAAGAAACAGACGCAGCAATAACCACATCGTTCAACCAATTCTAGCCTTTAATACGAGTCAAACTTGCGATTCAACACTACCCCACGAGCCAGCCTAGTACGAACGAGTATAGAAACCACCTGATGCCTGGTGCTAATCACCAACATCGCGACCCCCAACTTCCAACCACTTGCTTGATTATCTATCTCCCATCGCTCGAAATTCGGCGCCGCTGACAGATAAATTGCATCCAAATACATGAGAACACCTCCTTCAACCAGCGGCGCCGTTGAATGTCTTTTCGCCAAGATCCTGCGCCTGTTTGAACACTGAACAGGTCTTGGTCATTGCATGGAAGGTTGACAAAACGCTATGCTTGGACGCAATTAATTCTCTCCACTCATACGTAAGTTCTACATTTCCAGAATCCCAAGGGGACTATCCCTCATAAGCGTAGTGAGGATATACTATAGCAGTGTATGGAATCAGAAACCTGGTACCATGGCTAGCTATGGGTTTCTACATGAATCTTTCAGAGTGATCAAGTACTCCTGCAGGTGGTTTTCCCTCAGTGCGGGGTCTCTATCGCTCTGTCCATTGCTGTACGGTCGCCGTAAGTGGTGATAAGGCTTTTTGAGGTTGTCACTGGCCATCGAATCTTAGCTTGAAGAAAACGATATTCGAAGGGGCAGTCTATATTGGTGGCGGCGCTCGCTATTATCACAGATGATGCCTAATAGCTCAAAGATCTTCAATTATATTCCTCTATATCTATGTCTTCTTCCATTGTTAGGGATCTATCGAACCTCGAGATGCTGGGATATAGAAGAATAATTAACTAAATCATCTATCTAGCAATGCCTTGAGAGGGAACGGGTTGTATTACTAGGTGGCAAAAGACGTTTCTCTTTTCTTTTTATATTCAAATAATAATTGATATAGAAACGTTTTTCCTACCTCGACTTTTGAATAGTGTTTCACTAAAGATATCCTTAACTATCTATTATAGCGCTCAGTTCTCTACAAAATAAGGGTACGGAAGAATTTATCTCCCAGTCCCTGGGAATTGCCAATTGGTTTTAAATCTAGAATCCTGCAGTTTTATTGTCAGCTAGTGACATTGGTAGCCATCGCAATAGATTGAAGTTGACTCCATTACGTTCTGACTTCAGCCCTTTTTATTAATTGATGGGGACGAACATTAATATATGCTGTAATATACCACTACAGGTGTAAATTACCCAATGAATATTCAGGGGCTCATGGTATTCATGGTTGTACTTTTGCTATGTTCAATTTCATGTCACGAACTCAGGATAAGAGTTGAGGGCGTGTGTCAGTAGTACACTAGGTGTGGCTCGTGTACTTGATAACGAAGGCGAAAGAGGGTGGTTGGCTGGACTAAGCCCTGTTCTTTCCGTTGTATCAAAATAGGAACCTTGGATGCAGCGAATAATTCTCGGACTTCAGCGGGGCACTTACAGGGCCAGAAACGAAGCTCTATATTCTGGCTATCTGGATCACTCCGAATAGGTTTCGAAGGCCCACTTTATATAGCTAGAAGGATCGTATAACCTCGGACGAGATCGCAGGGGCGAGCCGTACCCTAATCTGACAATAATACCGCGAGAATCGAAACTTTTGCGATCGACTGAGACTTTCGGAGCATATAATGAATCCCATGATTTCTCAACTGGACATCTGTCAGTCACTAGACAAGCCTATCCTTTGTGTGGCACACCGGTCTTTAATCTTATTTATAGTCCTAAAGAGAGAGATTTAAAGAGTCGGTATGGCTTAGTTATGTTGTTTAAGGGGCCGCTATAAGAAAAATATACTCTATATCAATAGAACAAACACCACAAGGACAAGCGACACTTAGCAAAGTAGTATATCTCCGACATGCTATTAGTAGGTACAGATAACCGCTTGGTGAAACAAGACGACCATACACAATGTAGTGTGAAAATGTTCAATAAGCTAATTAGCCCTGATTTTGGGATAAAGTAGCATCATTGCTCTAGCTAAGAAATAGCTGGAGTAGACATGTATCCGACCGTATCGAAGCCTAAGATGAACTGTAAAAGGAGAAATTCCGAATTGAACAATTCAATCAAAATCTACCAAAGCAGCATATAAACATAAATTTAACGAGTATTCATAATGCAGACCATTATACGCTAACCTCCAGCCGTCCATGTCTCTGATGACATAATATTTGAATCATGGCAACTCTAAGTGCGTGAAGGTCTAGGTTCCCTGTTTCGCGCACATTCTCTTACCCTTAGACCGGAGCGTCTACTTCTCACCGTCCCTTGGCCCCGGGCTTCCCAAAGTCCGACGATTCAACCCCTCGCTGTCGTCTTCCATAATCGGCCTCTCATTCTTTCCTTCCTCAGCAAGCCTTTCCTTACTCTTTCCGCTCTCCGTACTCCTAGCCAAGACCCCACAACTCGCACTCACGCCATCACTACCACCTTTCTCGTCCTCATTCTGGGTGGTGACAGCGCCGTAGGTACCACCCGCACTCTCCATGGTGAATGGGCTAGCAGTGGGAGCGTCGAGAATACTTAGCTCGTGTGCCGTGAAGAAACGCGGCATGACGAGCGCGCGCATGGGAATCAGCGCAAAGATGAAAATGGGGAAGCCGACGGCGGCGATGGTCTGCGTGATGGCGAAGGTAGCGCCAAAGCCGATGAGCTCGACGGTCACAAAAGCCCAGAGCGCGCCGCGCCGCTGGACGTGACTGAGCGGGTGGTTTGTGGGAGTAAGGTTCCTGTCGCGGAGGAGATATAGCAGTTTTTGCGTAATACCGTTAGCCTCGAGGGCCTGGTACCCCATTATGAAGAAGAGGCCCGCTAGCACGGCCTGTGGGATGAGGTGAAGAACGATGAGCAAGGGGCCGGTTGCCGTGCCTAGGGTTAGGAGGCCTTGCGCGAGATTCGATACCCGTTGCTCGACGACGTGGGTACGTTTATATGTGTGATGGCCTTTGGCATCCGTGTTGTTCTCGTCTGTGTCGAGTTCTACTACTGTAACGCACAGAGACTCCGTGTGGAATGGTGCTTGCGGAATTAACCCGTTGGGAAAGGGTAAACCCAAAATCCCTGCGACGCCCGTCGTCAGACCCAGAAGAAATATGTCCCAGTGGAAGCCTGCTGGTTTGCGAAGGGGGAACTCTGTGCCCTGGGCAATAAGTGATGAAACTATTGTCTCGTCAGTTTCTTCCTTCGCTTTTCCCATGCCTAGCGATTTCAGCATGGAATGCGGTCACTATCTAGGATAGACCACCTAAATAGCTGGGTGCAGCAACATACCATTATGATCGAACCAAAACAGAACAGTAAGCAAGATCGCAAACGGGAGCGCAAGAAACACTTCCCGAACCTCGATGTCCCATAGCTCCACAAGCCACGGGCGGTCCGCAGTAGGAAAAAAGGGGCGCGTCGTGGGTAGCCTTTCAAGCTCGACGGACTTCATGCGGCCGAGGTGAACAAACCCCGTGAAAAAGACGACAGTGAGGGGCGTGCCGTAGTCCTTGAGAAATATGCGCACCGGGTGGCGGAAGAGCGCCGCGCTACCGAGCTCGCCGCAAATGTAGGCGATGGCGAAGACGAGCAGTGCCACCGAGAGCGAGAGATAGAAGGGCGCGCCGTCCCCGAAGCGCTCCAGTACTTGGATTCCTTTCTGCAGATAGATGAAGGCCACGTAGAATCCGAAGATATCGCAGGGAAACCGCGTCACGTATTTGAGCCAGTTGCACGAGTTAGTGATTGCCAAGGTCCAGTGTAGAAGGACGGCCCACAGGCCAATCCAGCACATGAAGGCTAGATAATTCGTTCCTAAGGGCGTGACGATGTCATATACAGTACTAGAGTCTTCTGGTAAGTGAAGTGTGAAGGGGGGGGTACTATTTTTGCGGCTAGGGAACACAGGCTTAGGAAAGGGGGAAGTGGTGGAGGGAGGATTCAATATCAGGAAGACTCATACTAGTTGAATACGGTAATAGGCCCCGTTACTCCCACAATGACAAGAGGTTGACAGGCAATGATCGAAAAGACTACAGCGCCGAGAACAGATGCCAGCAGGACCTCGTTAACGCCATACTGCATGTTTGTCTTGGTGAACATATCCAAGCTGAATGCTAGAGCGGGCAAAATACTATGCATATGGTTAGCCTCCGGCCTCAAAAGGTGCCTTAAATGTATTTGGCCGAATAATTCCAAGAACCCTATACAATTGCCTTGCAATCACTAGAGCTAGAAAAGCAGAGGAGGCGAAAAGGAGTGAAATATGACCTAAAAGAAAACCCAAACAAAACGAGACTGGATGGGAAGAAACAGGGAGGCTTACTTGGCAAAATACATATACACCGTAGCAGGAATAACACGGTAGTCCCAAGCATCGATCCAGTCGCTCCAGTAATAGGGAGCGCGGCGGCGAACATCGTTGACCATGCCGCGGAAAAGGTGGATCTTCCACCATCTGGGTGCTAGTCGAGTCCTCTGAGGGCTTGTCATGGAACCGCGATCCGCTGCGCCGGTGCCAGCCCTGAAGGTAGACCCGGGACCGGGATCTGCAGTGCTTGACTTCGGCATCGGCGTCAATTGGGTACTGGAGCAAAGAGTAGTTCGGTATTATGTAGACTGCTTAGGTTCGTAAATTTAGAACGGCCGGGACCTAGTTGGACGGCCTGTCGAAGTGCTTTTGACTGATAGTTGACGAATTCTGCGTGTGGCCGCTTTTTATGTCTTGGTAAAAAGGGGGGTGGGAGGGCAAGCTGGACGAGCTAGAAGTTCTAGCACGGCAACGAGTAAATAGGAAAGCCGAGACAGATTCAATAGAAGAGAAGCCCCGGACAATCAGCGGCACAACATGTCCTATTCTGGTATGTTTTCTTCTTCACTCAATAACTGAATCTCTCTTGTGCTTCAAGTTAGTAACAGCCAAGAGACCGATAGCTGCTAGGCATCCGGCATGCAGAGCCAATAGCTACGTCAAAGATGAAAGAGGCCGGCGAATCTGCCGTAGTTTTGACAGCAAGCTAGTGCAAGACGGGGGGGCGGGCGGTTCCTTTATTTGACCTCATGTGAATAAATGCTATCACGACCCACGCAAAGCCACGGCGGCGAATCCCTCCTTACACAGTCCGGCATCCTAGCCAAGACGGGCGGGCTTGAGAGTGGCGGTGGATATCTCGGCACCCACCCCCCACGGGTGTGTTTACCATACAGGATTACCGTAGAGTAAGAGATAGCTAAAGAATATGTATACTGAAGAAGGGGAGAGAAGCAAAGAATAGATGGTAGAAGATGCTGCCTACTCGTTACACCGTAAATATAGACACACACACTACGTAGGTGTTTTGCTCGAGTCTATGGAATGCGAACAGCATCGAGAGAGCAAAGCTCGGTCAATCGGGCGCAATAGATCGACGCCTGTCTACCTGGGGTGCGGTACACGAGGTTAGCATAGTGTCGTGAGCGAAATGCGAATACCTATGACACATGTCGTTCCCTTGACATCATCCAAATGTCCCATTGGCTTCCCTTTTGCTTCTTCCATCCTTGCAGTAGAAGCCTCCCTCGTAATTTTGCGTTTGGCTGGATTTATCTACCAAGTAAACATGTTGCTGAAGAATTGGCTAGGCCCCCGCTAGACCTAAATTGACGCCCCCAAAGGATCCCGGGCAGAAATTCTGACGCCTTATCATTCATTGTGTTAGGTAACTACCTACCTACTCCGTGTATAACAGCTTGATGGCACACCACGCACAGCATTGCACGGCGTCATTTCCCTACCTGCTTGCTGTGCCCGGCCGGGCCTAAGGAATAAGGACGCTGTTGTACCCGCTCGCGAACTGTCTTAGCTTAGACTAATCTACCTATTGATACACAAGACGCTATTCTGCTGTGCTGTTTGTCTTGCCGCAGCTTGTCCCGTCTTCCATATATAATCACCCGCTGGACTGCCCCCCGGCCCCTCACAGCCTCCAAATGAAATCTAACATAAATATACATGGATGTTGTGTGTGTATGTGCGTAGTGCTTCGGTTGAGTTGAGAGCTTTGTGACCAGTCATATCGGTGGTGCATGGCGCCGAGTGATAGAGCGGGAGGCCCTCTCTCGTCTGCTTATCATCCGCCTGTCTGTGTTTCAGCTGCAATCGAGCCAAAGCCAAGCCGTTTCCATGCATTTGCCTGTGTACACCTAATTCATGAATTTTTTATATACAGTTTTTAAACCTCTATTGCATAATGTCACCATGATTATCACCTTGTCTCCTTGCCTTGTAGTTGTTGGAACGCGGCGGGACTAGGTGACGGGGGCTCCGGGGCATCCGGAAGCGAAGGGGACGACGGGGGCTCCGTGGGATCTGTTGGGTTTTGGGCACCCTGACCGAAATATTTCGCGAAATCATCTCGGTCGTTGAAAGGCCGTGGGCCGAGCAGGCGAACCATGTCGTCACGTACAAGTATCTCCTTCCTCAACAGCTCTTCAGCAATAATACCAACCTCCTTTTTCTTCTCAATCAGTAAGTCCTTGCATTGTTTATAAGCCGCTTCCACAATGCGCTTGACTTCCGCATCAATCGTTTGACCTGTTGTCTCGGAGAAGGGTTTATGAATCTTATTTTCATCGTTTTGAAAATGGAGAGGGCCGACTTTTTCGGACATGCCCCATTGCGTTACCATAGCCGTAGCCATTCTCGTCACCTTGGAGAAATCGTCACTGGCACCTGTTGTGACAGTAGGAAAGTGAAGCTCTTCCGATATGCGTCCACCCAGAGTCATGGCCATTCGATCCATCAACTGATTATAGCTCATGAGATAGGCGTCACCAGGCAGATACTGGGCGTAGCCTAGACCCTTGCCGCGAGGAATGATGGACACCTTGAGCAGAGGATCAGCATATCGAAAGTACCAGCCGCAGATAGCATGTCCGGCTTCATGATAAGCGACCGTCCTCTTTTCGAGAGGGTCAAGAACTAGAGATTTGCGCTCGAGGCCTCCAATGACACGTTCAATAGCCTGTTCGAAGTGCTGAAGAGTGACAGCTGCCGCGTTGCTCCGCGCGGCTGTGATTTATTAGCGATTATATTCCTAATCTTGGCAAATAAGGCACTCACCAATTAAAGCAGCCTCGTTGACACAGTTAGCAATATCAGCGCCGGCGAAACCTGGTGTCAGTGAGGACAGTCGACCGCTCAAATATTCAATATCTTCATTCGTCACAATCTTCTTTAGATAGACCTTGAAGATATCCTTACGGCCGGCCATAGTTGGCGCATCGATGTTGATGTGTCGATCAAATCGACCTGGACGCATCAAAGCCTTATCAAGAATATCTACTCTGTTGGTACCAGCAAGAACCACAATCTGTTCGCTCGTATTGAATCCATCCATTTCTGTAAGAATCTGGTTCAGTGTGGCCTCTCGTTCATCATTGCCACCAAATCTTTGACCTTCGGAACGGGACCTGCCGATGGCGTCGATTTCATCGATAAAGATGATGCATGGCGCGTTCTTCCGTGCAGTAGCAAAGAGGTCTCGCACGCGCGAGGCACCTACGCCGACGAACATCTCCACGAATTCAGAACCGCTGACACTGAAAAAAGGCACACCTGACTCGCCAGCAGTGGCTTTTGCGAGGAGAGTCTTACCAGTGCCAGGTGGGCCTGCAAGAATGGCACCACGAGGGATCTTGGCACCTAGTCTCTGGAATCGTTCCGGCTTCTTCAGAAAGCTGACGAATTCCATAATCTCCTGCTTCGCTTCATCCATACCGGCAACGTCAGAGAATTTCACTTTGATGGCTGTTTCGTGACTGAATCGCTTCGCTTTGCTCTTGCCGAAGCCAAAAACGCCACCGGAACCACCAGCGCCAGGTCCCCGGCGACTAGCATAGAGGAGCAGACCAACAAGCAGAACCGTAGGGCCAAATGCGAGGAGAAGGTTCATCAAATTGCTTTCCCCAGCATAGCTTACTGGGATCCGCTCACTACTCGGGATGCCAAGTTCGTTCTGGGCTTCTTCGAGCCGTCTCTCGAAAGCGTCGACTGAGGCAATAGAGAAGTAGTAATTGAAGCCAGGACGCGTAGCAACGGAATCGGGATACATAGACTGGGTGGCTTCTCTGTTGAGTTCTACGACAACCTTGTGGCCAGCGACGACCATCTTTTCCACGAGACCTTTATCAAGGAAGTTTTTCTTTAGCTCTTGCCACGTGATCTCGCGACCACTCTCCCCGGTCATAGAGCTGTAGAGATAAAAAGCAACACCCGTAGCAATGGCCGTAGAAAGCCAGTCGTTGCTTTTCAGTGGGTTATTTCCACTGCCCGGATCAGGTGGGGCATTGAATTTGAACTCCTTCTTTTCCTCAGGGTTGGGGCTTTGTCTGTCGTCGTTTGACTTCTCTTTCTCTTGGCTATTCTTGTCTGTGGGTTGTTTGTCGGAGGATTCAGAAGATGATTCCTGATAACTTCGCGACGGCTGGGAGGGCCGATTATCAATCCGTTCATTATACTGAGTCTGAACACAATGGGTAGTAAAATCCTTGAGACTCTTGAAGAGCCTCGGGATGTCCGTTATTCCCAGACTCTGTCCACTCTGATGCTTCTGAATCAACTCATGTAGAGTGTGGGGTACGCCCGTTCGCCGGATTAAATCAAGTAACGCTAGGTCTCTCTTAGGAACTTTCAGGAAACCATTGTTCATAATATCTTTGAAAATTCGAATCTGCTCGTCAGTTAGATAGACCCAACCTTCGGGCAGCGGATATCTGTCATCGTTTTTCTCAGATGGGGGTTTTTGCGCGTTGGCTTCGGCAGGCCCAGGAGAATGAGTGCTTTGGACTTGTGGATTATTAGCACTATCTTCCCTTTTAGGAGGAGTAGGCTCAGGCGGCTCTTTATCGGTTGAGTAGTAGCGAGGCAGCCTGGCTGACCAGATGGCAGAAGCGGTGCGCACGAAGCGTGGGGATCGGAGGCTGGTGCGCGAGGTGAGGCGGAGGGGATGGCTAGCGACTTGCGCGATGCTCGTCGACCGCCGTAATATGCTTGACATGCCGGGCGATTGTAGAGCTCGTCGACCGGGCCGGAGCAGGCGGAAGTTTTTGGATGAGAGGTCGAGAGGCGAAGTGCAGATGCAAGTCGATCTGGAGCGTGAGAGCTATCTCATGTGCGCAATGATGAAGTCCAACGAACAAGCTAGCCACACGGCTTCTAGTGAATTGTCGCTGTGAATAGCACGGCTTGTCAGCGTGGAAGCGCCGAGGTGGTTGAAGAGGGCTGGTTGTCGAACGTTTCGCCTTAACTACCTACATATGTATGTAGATAGGTAGCAGGTGGTGATCAGTCGAAAGCTTTCCTTGCTTGATGGGGCTAGTCTCAGGGCGGCCTAGTGTGGCGGCGGGCATCTTGCGTCTGATTACGGCATCATTGCTTCGGGCTTATCGGATATACCTAGACTACATAGTAGACTGAGGTATGACAGATGAGATGATTACCACGGGGTGGGATGCAAAGCACCTTCAACAGGACACCCGCTACACCGCAACGGTTATTGATGACACCTGGGTACTGGCAGTCTCTTAAAATACATCCCACCTACTTAACGGACGCATAAAGATACGTATCACCATAACCACCGCAACTTTTCTATGCTTCTTTATTTCCAGTCTACTTGTGAAGACTGCCAGAATGATGGGATTGAATTGAGTTGGAACCTCCGGATTCTCCCTATGTACTATACAGAGATACAAAGAAACAACTCTTCCTTTAAAAAGTTGCAGATGGAAGCAGAACGAAAAGCATACCTAAAAACTCCTTCTCCAGTCCTTAAGTGCCGCATTCGCCAGGCTAGTAACGCATAGGTATAAACATAATCTTCCGGAAATAAAAAAAAAATAAGATGTAAAGGAAGGAAAGGGAAGAAACAAGAATAGGGCACTGTACGTCACTCTAGTCTCTATGAAACGTACTTGCCCGTGCCTTTGTATCCATGTTCTGCCGTTATGTTTTGCCACTGTCGCCGTATCAATCATGACTTCGTTCTCGGCTCTAAGCCGCAGTTCTCCGCTTGGGTTCATCATTCTCACAGAGTCTTCAACATCTCTCGCTCGAAGCCGCTCTAAATTGCACTTCCATTTTCGAACCCAGGATACGGCCCACCAGTAAACTCGGCCCAGTCCCAGTCAAGCGTCATGGGTAGCTGCCAAAGATCCTGTGGCAGCGTCGGCTGGTGTCCCGTCGCACTGTTTCCTGCAGGTGTTAACCCTGGCGCAATCCCATTCATTCCCATACTTCCTAACATCGTAGAGGGAGATGCCATTGGCTGTCCAAATCCTGTCAGTTCCGCAAACGACCCCATATCTACCGGGTCAAAGTGCTCCGATGGCCAGCCACTCGCGTCACCGCGCGGTGCCGAGCCAGTGGCCGATACTGCCGTATTCATTGGACTATACCCGTTGGAACCGCTGTTGCCATTTCCGTTAAACTGTGAAGTGCTGCTCGGCGTCGTTGCAGCGCTAGCATTGTTTTGTCGGTTTTGCTCACCGTTGAACTTTGGTGAGAGCTGTGCCACTCCTGGATTACTTTTACTGTTGCCACCATACATATTCATCGTCGGGGTTGATGTCGATGAGGATGGGCGAGGAGTCGTAGTGGATGTCACACTATAACTTACACTGTCCCTCGCCTGTCTGTTCAAGTCGGCGGGCTTCCTTTTTTTCCGGGATGCCGCATCCCGTTCAGCTTTCTCTATTACGACTTTGGCAATGCGTTCAAATTCTGCACACACGCCAAGCATGCGGTGGACACCACCAACCTCGGCCTCTTGGCCCAGGGTCGACAGAAATGTCACCACCAAATTCATCAGTCGCGTATCAGATCGTGCGCGTGGGTCATTCGGGTTTTGCAATATGTTCCCAAATAGTGTAACCAACGCTGAAACGGGAAAATATAGAGCCATCCTGTGTCCTGTAAGCTACCACAACAAATTCAACAAGACTAGAAATCTACATACCAGACGCAAGAAAAGTCACCCTGTGGAATGTATTTTAGCAAGGAAATTGTAGCCCTTGCAGCAGATGCGCAAAGCGCAGCTGAAGAGAATACTCTTGGATTCAGCGGCCTCGCATTTAGGCCTTGAATGGCGTAGTTTGCTAGTCGGCTCGTCCAGAAACCATGATGTATGGACATGCGATGGATGGTAGTGAGGGCGTTATAGTACGCGAAATGGAGCATGGCAATATGCAAGATTAAGGGTGTATGAGACGCTTTAATTTCGTGCTCTGGGCGGTAAGCAATGTCAATACTATCCTTCCAAGTCTCTAGGTCCTTATCGAGTTCTCCAATTGTATGTAATAGTTCGCCATCTGACAACTTTGTCGCCTTTGTAGAGTAAAGCCTCCTGTAAATCTTGCTCTCGATTACTGTTAATTCGCACATAACACGGAATAGGTTCATTTTGCCTTTGCCGTCAGCCAGAGGAATATTGCCTATATGGTCAGCAGGATCAGCGTCCGGAAGATCCACATTCATGTCGTCGTCGTCTTGTGCAGGTGGTCGACCCGATCGAAGACACAAATCCTTGTCCAGCATATATGCAATCCAGAATACCCGCTTTCTCTGTTCGATTTCAATGGGGTTTAGGTTGAAGCCGGTACCACGTTTGTGAAGGCCAATACTGTGGGATGATCTGATGGCAGCGGCAATGAGCAAGAAAGATGGTTGAGGATTGGGTGTCCCTTGCATGAATAATGCCATGCCCAGTAAGGCCTGTACACTCAGAAGATCGGTGTTGCGCATTGTTAATTCGCTAAAAACTCCCATCGCGTTTTTGATATAGGCCCACGCTTTCTCATCCTCTTCTTGAGGTACAAGATTGCTCATAACTCGAAGGCGATGGGCAATGGCGAGAGCGCAATTCAGACTTGCCCACCAGCCTGACCCTTCATATGGATTAGATGAGTACTGCCTCTCCACCAGGTGCATGAATGTAGGCTGATGGAATAATGGGAACATGCAGTTAAAGTTCTCAAAGTAGTCTTTCAACAGGGATAAAGCTTCAGGTTTAGGCGGCAATGGCCGGTAGACAGGTCGATGAAAAAGATCGGCAAAAACTTCTTGCTTCCACTGAGTCCATTTATGATCGTCCAGGGAAACCTCCGAAATCATTTGCTGGAAAGAGGTGTCTCCTATCTTCTCATTGACCCACTGAACGCCTTTCGGTGAGAAGATGGAAAACCCGGAAGATGATCCTGTCCCCAGTTAATCAGTGGTTCTGGTCCAAAATACTTCTTTTACGTTTGAACCCACCTATGTATCTTGTCTCGCCCTCCTGGTTCGTTACCAATGAACACATCATTTCAGATAAGGCCTCGACTTCCTCCTCGTTTTTAAGGTCCGTAGATGGGGAGCGGTCTCTCCTAAAGTCTCGCTCCTTTGTTGGCTCAGGTGAGGTTAACGCGCTCTGGGGGGCTGAGTCTAAACCATCAGGACCGGATGTAGTCTGAGATGGAGAGGTTGGGTTCGAGTGCGATGCTTGTGAGGTAATGGATCCATGTTTAGACTGATGTTGCTTTTCAGCGAGGCGTTTTTCTAGGGTTGCAAGATCTGTCGCTTCGTCATCCTCGCCGAGGAGGCCTTGTGTAGGTTTCATCAGCTAAAGTCAACACCTGCAGATCCAGACAACGCCGAGTGAATTGGATTCATGCATCGCGGGCCGGTAAGGAGGATACGCACCAGATAATCTGAGCAAACTTTCCATCCGTCCGAGGCGATTCTCAAGACCTTCTATGTACTTAGCACTATATTCTCCGTATTAGCATTAAGATATGCAGAAAGGGACATTGCTAGGTTTTGTTTGATAACAGCATACCCTTTCGGTGGACTTCGCTTCTTCTCGACCTGCGTGAAGACACAATCTGTCTTATAATTGATACAATGAGTGCAAGCCGGCATTTTCCCATCACATTTGATCTTTTTTTTCCGACACATATCACATGCCTACAGCGAAGATTAACGCGATGTTAGTCACCTAGCGCAACCACGAATGTTCCACGCATCCCAATCACTGACAGTCGCTCGGCAAGGACGGGAGGCTCACCCGCGCAATCCTCCTTCTCTTTGCCTCGTTCACATCATCGAGTAGCGCCGAGGGGTCAAACCCCATCTGAGCCGCGAGCTCCGGAGGTAGGACCGGTAGACCATCATGGCCATAGGCGCCAAAGATGGGTGGCGGTTGGTTCATTAACGGCGGAGGATGCATGCCCGGAATCTGGAAGGTCCCGGGGTCAACCCTGAGATGGTCCATGGCGTCGTGAGTGCGTGCGGCTAGTCGGAGCAGTTGTGTCTCTCGTCGCGGCTGTCGTGGTCGTCGTGGGAAAAAAGAAAAGGAAATAGAGGAGCAGACAATGACATATGCGATGGGTTCTTCTCTTGATTGGTGCGAGTCGGGGGAGGCAAGGAACTAGACTACCTGGGCAAAAGTAGGCATGGAATACACGAACTCTGGGAAACTAAGAGAGATCGAAGAAGGGGGAAAGAAGGGTAGCACATCAACAGGTCTGTGTGTTGTACGCAAGTCAGCATTATTATTGAAACAGACAAAACGCACATGGCATTGACAGGGCCGTTGGTGGGATTCGGCTTTAAGCTATGTTCTAGACTTGAGCGAGTGAGTGAGTGAGTGACTGACTGACTGACTGACTGCAACCAACCTGGGTACAACCTACTATGTACTACCTACCTAGGGTAGGTGTAGGCAGGCATCCCTGGATCCCGCTTAAGCCTCAGTAGGTACCTACATCCCTACTTAGATACATACAGTACTACCGATAGGTGGTACCACCTCGCTCAAAATAGCGGGTGGTACCTTGTGTGCAGCCGGGCATTTTAGTTACCTCGATACCTTACGCTAAGCAGGCTACAGCACATGAAGCCATTATGCTACCGACAAATGGGTAGTGTAAACCAGCCTTCCACTTGCGAGAGCTTGCTGGTCCAGCTTATAAATCCAACGTGAGCAAGTTCCTGTTAGGTCTGCTTATTCGCTCGGTACCCTGTGCGAAGGGGGCTGAGTTAAACGCTGGAGTGAGACGGAATTTTAGTGCTCGTACTCGGACTTGAGGTAAGTACCTACCTACTACTACGTAAGTCGGTGAGGTATCATTGGGGAGACTTGCAACTTGGCAGCTATTAAAAGAGCATGCGTGTGTACGTAGGTACTACAAGCAGCGAAGCGCTGTGCCGTGTGCCAGAAAGAATGAGAGAGCAAGAGAAATGAAAGGTTACAATATGTCTATGTTTATCCTCTATCCTAGTTTCGCTCCCCATCTTCCCATACCGCCAGCCTTCTGTTTATAGGCCTTGCCTCGTCGTAAAACAAATTCTCAGATAGCAACACAACTATAGGGTCACACGAGTGCAGCCTCGACTACATACCTACAGAGGTACTTGCGTGGGAAGGGACTCTCAAATAGGTGAGAGAGAGAGAGAGAGAGAGAGAGAGAGAGAGAGACCCTGCAGCTTTGCGGATATCGTCAAGTATGGCCTACCTACATGAGTACGTAAGTAGTGTCGTGTTAAGAGAAGGGAGGCTTCGAAACCCCTTATCGCCCAGTGGCATGGCATGCACGCAGATCAATAAGAGCGCCGAATATACCGTAGGTGAAAATTCGCCATCCCAAGTTTGTTTCACTAAAAGATGTACAGGGTTATAATCACCAATCAGAGTATACTAAGTAGACTACAAACATTGAACCGATCATGATTAACCTTGCCTATCGTTAGTGGTTAGGCAGTACTGCGGGTATGCGTATAAGAATAAGAATAAGAGGCACGTATGTTCAGTTCTATCAATCAAACTTAATCATACCTAACATCTTCAGAATAACTAACAAATTCTCGATCATCGTGACCGGGATGCTCTTGTCGTCTTTCTACATGTATGTTTCCCTTGTGCGACACGGAAGGAGGTGGTAAAATAGTATGTAATGGCCCGTCTCCAGTTTGTACTTAGTGAAATACGTTTGGGCCTCCCTGGATCGATGGACAATTGGCTGGACGAGTGCTCGCTTGATCGTCATGCCTGTTAGGTACCCTGGCGCCAACACTGATACCTCCCTACCTCGCGAGCGAAATCTCGGGGCCGGGGCAGGGCCGGGGTTAGTCATGAAGCCGCAGCGACGCCGCACATGCATGCCGCACCTAGCTACCTACATATGAATGCACGAGGAGTCCTCGTGGTACCGCTCACGCTATGAATATTGATCAAGGCCCCATCTACAGTAGGTAGGTCATTTCTACTTATAGGTTTCTGCCTACTTGCATCTTGATGTACGGTACCTAGTACGCTGGTACATATCAACCGAGGGAGGCATTGCATGCGCGCCAGCAGCGTTTAGGTCGGCCAGGATCTTCCTTACTGCCCATGCATGTAACTCTGCAAACCCCACCTATCGGTCTGTCTTTGCTCAGTCTTCGAAGTGGGAGTGATGAAAATCATATGACTCCTCAGAGATATGAGCGAGCCTGATTACCGCTTCACACTACGAGAACCCGCCGCGTTCCGGCTGCCTTGCCAAAAAGTACCGGAGTTCCGCAACACCTTCTTAATCGCGCAGTGATAACAATTATACACTATGTGTTGCCCATGTCTACATGAAGCGCCCACGTCAATGAACAGACTCCCTTGTTTCAGGTGTCGCGCAGAATGCCGTGTGAGAAAAGCTACTGCGTTAGCGAGGGCAGCCCTCAGGTGCCCTATACCATGTACCTAATCCAAAATCCTGCGAGTGGCCTCACTTCGAGTAGCCAATCAGAGTGCAACAAAAATCACCTGTTTTAGCAAATGCCAATATCCTATGGTGCAGGAAGGATTTGTCACACGGGGTCAAAGCGACGGGAGATCTGGGGGTACGAGAGGGGTTGTGTGAGAAGCTGTTCATCACCACCTCCAGTTTCACGACCGTCTCATAGTACCGACAAATACCCTAGTATGATCTTCAACCATGAGCGTATCAGCTTTCGCTCGAGTCTTATCGCTCGTGGCGGCTGCCTAAGGAAGCCATATTGAGACTAATGAAAGCATCTTTTATCTACTTAATAGTCTAAGAAGGTTATTGGTGCTGAAGTAGTGGTTCCCATCCTCAACGCACTCGGCGGTGATCAGCTTCTTAACCTAAAACTTAATCTTGCAGAAAAATCGACAGACAACTTAATAATTCTGGCAGCAGATATCAAAAGCATTACCGGTACATGCTTCAATGAATTATGCGGTTGGTAGACCACGCCGTCTCAAATGGCTGATCTTCAATAGTTTGTTCACTCGGATCTTCAGTATATACAAGAAATCAATCATCTAGATTCGATTTATAGTGTAAAGCCCGCCCCGAAATTTCAGCAACCAAATGCACCGATGCTCCTGTGAAAGCACACGGGCTGCGCCAAAGGAGTATATACATCTCAAATATCCTCAGTAAATCTGGAAAAGGACCCATGGGATCGTGTCGATCTGTCATGAGACGGCTGTGAACGCCCCAATGGGTCTGGGGGTAACGTCGGAGATTCAATAATATTATCATCGGAGAACGGATCACTAAACGAGCCGGGTGTCTCAACCGCCGTCCGGGCCGGGCTTGCATGGAAAACAGGGATACTCGTCTCATGTAACATCGGGGCACCAACCGCCAATCTCGAAAGGGGGGCCTCTCCAAAGAAATTCTGTGAGGCTCTATAGTCGATCGATTGATCACTCATCATAGTTGCTCTCGGATCCGTATAACCATCGCCACCAAACTGCAAGACGGGAGGCAATTTTCGTCCAGATATCTTCGCAAACCCCTTCTCTCCTCCGTCAGATGATACCGTGCTCCTTGAAAAGCGACTCTGGCCTGACAACTTGGCCAGCGCCGCAGGAATAGCGAATGGGATAGACAGACGTTGAGACATACCACCGCCGCCAGTCGAGCCTCCACTTCCAGTCATCGTAGCACCGTATCCTCGATCGTTTCCTGAAGCCTGTATGAGGTTCATGCTAGATTGGCGTTTCTTCCATCTGAGAACAGCCGCTGCAAGGAGCAGGATGATTGCAAGGCCAGATATCGCCCCTACCACACTCCCAGCAATGGTCGCAGCTGATACATTGTCGGATTCAGAACTGACGTCAGTAGCAGGGGGGATGACAGTAGAGTCACCACCGTTCGCTGTGACGGTAGGTGAATCAATTCCGCCGCTGCCGTTGAGTGGTGTGAAGTCGGGCTTAACACTAATGGTAGAAGATGTTACACTAGAAGATGACTTGGACGTAGTTGTAGACGTTCCAGGGATGGATTTTGTTGATAACGAAAGTGACGAATGTGACGTTTCTGAGCGGATACTAGATGAACTGCCAGAAACTGTAAAACTACCGCCGCTCTCGGTACTAACGCTCTCAACAGTAAACGATTGAAAAGAAGCAGTCGAGTTGCTAAGACTCGAAGAGGAAAGAGCTGTACAGATGTTAGATTAGACTTTGTGAGACTACTGAATACATACTGAAATTAGATAGACCACTTAGTGAAGGAAAGACAGGGGCCGCAGACAAAGGAGTGGACGTGATAGGCGCATAAGATAACGTGGGAAACGAGATAGGCATAGAAGAATCCGAGGATGTTACAGTCGGTTCTTCTACGACTGACGAAGAGAATGATGACGACGGGTCCGCAGCACCATTTCCGTCGTCGCTAGCACTATTGGTTGGAGTAGTATCGAAGAAGTCTGTGAGCGAGGGTTGGTTGGTGGTACCAGCGACAGTTGGCTCGGTTGAACTTGTAGTGAGTACAGGTGCAGTCGGGTAGTCATGTGGCAGCGTCCTGATTATGGTCGCACCAGTCAAATCCGTTACTTGAAGAACAGAAATGGTCTCGACAATGACAACGACGTCTGAGTTTTCCTGCAAATCATCATCCGAAGTATCGCGCCCACCAACTCGCCTATTCTTTTGAGAACGAATGTGGTGAAGATGCTGGTGGTTGTGTTGACGTGAAGAGTGGACGTTGCGATAATGATGAAGATGGCTGTGTCGCCGTGCTGGTTGTTCTAATGGGTATTCTTGGTGTTGCCGACCGAGGTCCCGGGTCTGAGGGAGTGAAGACCCAGAAACCTGATCGGTCATCGCGCTGCGTGGCGGTGTGAACGGGGAATACGAGGTGTCTCTCGATAGAAATGGTCAAAAAATCTGGGCGGCGTCTGCTGACTCGCTGGCAGCTGGTAAAACGAATGCGCTAGGTTGTCGATCGTGCGGGGACTTCCATTATCATTACCACCCTTCTCTCAATTCTCGTCTCGAATCGACTCGGCTGTGTTCGCTGTCGCGTCGTCTCTACCTGTTCCTCATCGTTGTTGTTGTCGTCGGCGAGAGTCTGGTACCGGACATCCACACCTTGGGGGAGATGGGACTACCTGGAAAGGGAGGGAGAGGAGAAGAGGGCAAAGGGAGCGAGTAAGACTCGATAAAAGATAGTACTAGGTACTACTAAGTACCCATGTAAAGGACCACCTAACGCGCGCAAAGGACCTACCCAACCCACCACGCAGCCCAGTAAATCTACGCTACGCCGCAGTATCGCACCGATTTTAAAATGAACAAACACCCCTGGCCCCTTCCAGTAGTGGGACGCCATCGTGTCCAAGTTGTCCCAGCCGGGCCAGCCTGTCTGTCCAGCAGGGCCCGGGCAGTTGGCCAGGACAGAGCCAAGACTACGTCCTACTACCTACGTAGGTTTCACTGGCTAGCAAATGCTCGAATGGGCCTCGACAGACCTGAAGTGGTCGCAATGGGCATGTCAGTCCATGATCGCTATCTATGAATTCATCTCGCTTGCCAGGAATGTTACGCACATGTACACTACCGGTACCTACTAGGTATGTAAGTATGTCTGCGCATCTGGGGGATGCTTCGCGCATGGGGCACAAGGCACCAGACGTCCAATCAGACAATTCGGCCTTACCCAATCCATAGTTTGGTGCGACCGTTTACCAGGGGTTACCTAGCTGGTATTCTGTCGTGCTACCTCCTTGTACAGTGTTACAGTAGTACTGCTACTGTCCGCGTGCAAGACCGAATATAAAGTGTACTTATGTAGGTAGCCTGTTGATTGCGTGTTACAGCGTAATGCACGTGTACATGTACTTATAGTACCTACCTATGGGCAGGTGAGCGAGCATCCATCGTACAGTGCACCTACTGGCAAGCACGCTAGGTACCTGCTGTACACTCATATTCGTAGGTGGTACCTACAGTAAAGTAGTGTCAGGCACCTAACAATTAGCGCAATCTTTGAAGTGCAGCCAATACAGGCAAGACAGGGTCTAACGCCAACAACATCAAGATCCATTATACATACTATAGTAGTATAATTTAGTCTAGAAATGCGTTGGTCTGCTTTCTCTATATAAGAAAAGGCCTACTTAGGATCAAGACATACTTAGAGAATGTAGCGTAGTGTGTTAAGTATATACTTAGGTAGCTGAGTAGTGTATCATGACCATGCAGAAACGCCCACCGCGTGGGGAATTTGCATGCAGCCATACCAGTAATACGAGAGCTCAAGAACTCGTATTCTCCAGGCAGGAATGGCTTGTGGAAACTACTTCGCAGGTAGCCGTGTCTGGCCGTGATAATGCTTCCTGAATTAGGTAGTGTCGCCATGTGAACTTGTAACACGCGGATAGGTAGTCCGTTCGGCTGATTAACATATCTACGTGTCTTCCCTTGCAATGCCTAGGTAAGATTACAGTCTATAGTATGCCTACCTATCTATACGTCGAACACTGCTTTGGACAATGTTCTTGGCTCATTTCCCAACTGCTGCTCCCCAGAGCCTGAGTCTGGCCTGAGCCATCTAAATTGAAGGTCGATCATTAGCAACATATACGTCATGAGCAACAATAACAAAGCTACCTAGTTACCGTTACATATGTCGCCCAAATTACACGATGTCCATATAATTAGAGGTGGGTAGACACATAACGAGAATTGGTCGGGAAACTTACCAGATCTTATGTTTTGAAGTACGTGTATATCTCAACATGGATGTATCATTTATTGGATCAGAGCTAAACAGCTTCCTTTCCGAGGCGAATCACTGCATGATAGCCTACTACGAAGGTATCCTTGCTATCTATCATACTACTATGGAGAGCTACTGGTATATCTAACACTCTACTGCCACAAGCAATCTCCATCCTAGGTATCTTTTTGATGTACTTGCTCGCTGACTGAACACCACTATGATCTCACTCACAACACATAGGTATGTAAGATCACCAGTCTGCCAGGAATAGGAGTCTACCAACATATTATTGATGACGTTGAGGACCATGAAAATCTATCGATGATCTTTCCAGGAACATGCAATCCTGTGGCTTTCCGACTTAACCAGGAGGGGGCACAGCACAGTGGACTTAATAGTAGAGCGAATAACGCGTTAGCGTATAACAGCTTCTACAGTACAAGCAGACATATCTGCCATAGTCGGTAAAGCGGGCCAGCTTAAGTATCATATGATGATAATATGTATGCGTATTTTGTAGAACAATAAACAATACTGAGCTGTTTGACACGTACATTTAGGTGTCATATACATGGTATGTACCTACATGGTTATACAATATATATGAGCGCATAGAATACCCTCAGATCCCATACAGGGTGAGCACAACAAGTGAATCAACGACCTTTTGTCGGGTATCATACGATATCGTGAAGCAACAGCCCTATATCTCGCCTATTCCCATCCACTCAAGGTACAAATGCAAAAAAACAAGAAAAAACAAACACCTTCAACTCCATTCGAATGCCAGAATACAAAGAGATTATGCGAAAGCCACTCTCTTCTTAGACTTGACGTTGGTACCTGCGGACACAGCAGCCGAAATACCGTCTCGATCATCATCATCGCCAGATGTCCTGTTGCGTTTCCTCTTCCTGCGCAGCGATTCTTTCGTCTCGTCGAACCTAGCCTTCTTATCTGCCTCCTTCTTTTCAGCTTCGACACGGCGTGCCTCGCGGATCTCCTCCATCTGTCGCGCTTTGATCATCTTGGACTCAATCTGGCCTTCTTTCTCCGCCTGCACCATGGCGAGGATCGTGCTCATGCTCTCCTGTACCGCAATTGTAAGCTCAGAAACACCAATTTTGCAAAATTCCTCTTGTAGAATGGTGTGGCGACAAACCTTGTCATCGACGAAAACCTTGCCCTTCTTCTGGCCTTTCGGCTTGGTGACACCGACAGGCGTGATCATATTTAATTGTGGAATCCCCAGTTCTTTGTCTGTATAAACCTTCTTCTTTTTCTTTTTCAATAGGTCGGCCATTGTTCGCCCCTTCATCTGCTTCCCCAATGGGCCCCCTGTGGGCTTCTTTTTCGACTTGGAGACACCATCTGAAGAGCCAGCTTGGGATGACTTGCTTGAGCTGATTCCGGATTTGTTCGTAGCATGCTTGTTCTTGATCGTCCTTGTCCTTTGAGGCGCCATCGTGTATCTGTAAGTGCGTACCTGAATATACAGGTCCGCAGCGTAATAGAGGTTGTTGCAATAGTCAAGTCACCGAAGCTCTCGAAAATATTTCGGGGCCAATGCCTTATCGATAAAAATGGATAGGCAAAGAAAGATGCTGGCGGACAGGCGGGGCCAGCTACCGCATACACTCAAAAAACTCAAACAACATTAATAGCGCCACCATATATGCAAATGGAGCAACTGCTATATTGGGCCTATCTAAATCTAATCAAACCAAAGTTATCTTAACCCCCTTTTAAGTATAATAATTGCTTTTTTTAACTTAATATAAATAAAACTTTAATTTAATTTAATTTTTTCTGCATTAACTTTATTTTTATTATTATAATACTTATATTACCTACTTTTATTTACCTTTATTATTATTTAAATGTTTTAAATTTATTATTAAAAATGCTTACCTTTAAAGCATTAATAAAGATAACCTATAAGTTATTTTTAATTTTACCTTATTATTAAAGCTAATTAAGTAACTTTAATTAATTTATCTTTTAACCCTTTAAGATTAATCTTTATATTTAATAAAACTTATATTTTTATTATAATTAAAATATTATATATAAGGTAAAGCTTATATTAAGGTACCATTTATATATTTATTATAAGATAAAGAATAGAGGAAATATTTTAAATATAAAAAGTATAGTAAAGTATTTTAATGCGTATAGTAAAGCAATAGTTATATAGTGATTACGATATACGTAGCAGTATAGCCATCTAGGCCCTAAGCCCCAGGTAGGTTACCAGGCTAACTATTGTAATTACCCCCCCTTTAAAAAATTCTCGCCTTAAAAATTAAACTTATAGCTTTTATATTATTACTATTTAATTAAAAAAAGGATAGCTTTAAATTTTTACCCTTTTATTATTATATTATAAGCCTTTAATTTATAAAAGCGCTTTAAATATTTTTATAATGTATTATAGGTTATACTTATTAAATTTACTTATAATAATACCTATTATATTCCTTTTCTTTAATTTATATAATAATATATTCTATATATCCTTTAGTACATTATTATTAAGGTATGCTTTATTAAACCTATTCTCCTTTATAGCCTTTAATTAATCCTTTAATCTTTTTAATAATTTTATAGATTTTAGATTTTTTTTATAAAAGTTAAATAATAACTTTAAGGAATTTTTAAAATTATTAATAGGGTATTATTAATTATTAAAGTCTTAACCTTTTTAATTAACTTAATATTAAAGGGTTTTTTTATAATATAATTAAGATGTTTTAATTTTTTTAACTTTTTATTCTTCTTTATTAATATTAAAATTAATAATTTTATTATTAAATTATTTAGCTACCTATTTTAATAAAGGTATATTAAGGTATTTTTATAGTTGGTTAATATAATAAAGGTTTATTAATTATTAATTATTAAGAACTTTAAAATAATAAATAATAAGTTTAATTTATTTAATAATTTTAAAGTATTATTATATTATTAAATAATTAAACTTAATAAAAGAATAATTAATTATTTATAATTACCTTTTTTTTAAGATAAACATTTAATTGTTTATATTAAAGTTTAATTCTTTATAATAGCAGTTTTCCTATTTAATTATTTTATCTTACATTTATTTAAGGATTATTTAAGCTATATTAATATATTCTTTAATAGTTTTAAATTATTATTAAGCTTTCTTATAATTTAATTGTTTTTTTATAAGAAGTTTAATTATATTTATAGTATAATTTATTTGATTATAATATATTAATATTAAGAATTTAAATAGAACTTTATAGGGTTATAACTTAATTAATTTATATAATAATAAAGTAATAATAAAGTTTATAACAAATAAAGCATTACTTTAATTATTTTAATAATAGTTATAATATAGTTAAAACCTTTAATTTAAGTATTTAATAATAATTTTAACCTATTCCGCTAATTTATAATATCCTATTAAAAATAATTTCTATTTAATACTTAATATTTTAACTATTTTATTTATAAATAAAGAAATAAATTATAGGCCTTTATTAAAGTTTACTTATTTAAGTAATCTATATATATAAAAAGGGCCTTTATAATATAAATAAGCTACCTTTTAAATGGTTACTTCTTTAATGTAAGGTATTAACTATAATGCTTTACTTAGCTTAACGCATCTCCCACTTGACCTGGCCACCCAATTAAGCTGGCCACCCCTTTAACCTATATAAAATCCCATTGTTTTAATCTAAAATAACTTTACGAATATTAATCGTAGAATTTAATAGTTAGTACCATTAGATCTGTTATTTATAATGGAATCCAACGGTATTTTTTACTATTTTTTATAAAATTTATTAAGCGAGATATTAAGTAATACGCTAAAAGGGCGCTAGGTAAGGTTTATTTTAACGCTTACTTTAGCGTATTGCTTAATAACTCCACGAATATATGTTGTATAAATCAATGGAGGGTACCGTTAAGTAGCTCTCTTTATTACGAATCTAATGGTATATTTTATTATTATATACGATCAATATTTGTAAAGTTATTAAATTATCACGTGATTAGCGCACCGACGTTTTTTATATGGGCTAGGGGGGTGGCCAGGTCAATTGGGTGGCCAGGTCAAGTGGGAGATGCGTTATTTATTATTATAAAGATATTCTTTCCTTTTTTATTATCCATTACTATTTCCTTAAAGTTTATTATAATATAACGAAATGGTTTTAATAATATAGGTATAGGTTATAAAAAACCTAGAATTTTATTATAAAGGACCTTTATAGGTTAGTAAATTATATAGTTTATAACGTAAGTCTTATAATCTTTTCTTAATTTAAGCTATTAATATTAAATAGCTATTAGCTATTTTATCTTATTTTAATTAAAGTAAGCTATAATAATTTAATTATATACTTCTTAAATAATATATATATATATAAAGTTTATATTAAATACTATTAGTTTACCCTTATAAATAATTAATCCTTTATTTATATATTAATTTTTATTATAACTTAAGGTATATTTATAATAAAAGGTAAATATATTTAAATTTTAATTATATTAAAGAATTTTATTTATTAATAATATAAAGGGGAAGAGTATATTAACTTTTATAATATTAATAGCCTTTATAACATTATTAAAATTAAATAGTTTATTAATAAAGGGGTTAGTATTAAAGTTTTTTATTATTAAGTAAAACATTATTATATATTAATATTCCTCTTTTTTAGCTTTTTATATATAAAAGTCTTCCTATTTTTATAATAAGGCATTAATTATTATATTTTCCTTACCTAATTAATAAATAATTAAAAAGTTATATTGGGTAAATAAATCAACCCATTTAGCTTAATAAAGGTTTAGTTATTATTTAATATTAAAGTATTTTAAAGCTTAATAATTAATAATAATAAGGAAGGGGTCCCTTTATTAAGTACTAACTAACTTAAATTTTTAAAATTATAATCCTTTAACTATTATTAATAACTTTTTATTAAGGATATTATAGTTTATTTTTATACTATATATTATTTTAAAATAAAAAGTAATAGGGTATTATTTACTATCTTCCCCCCGTTAAAAAAGGCATTTAATATAAACTTCATTTAATACATCTATTTCCATTTTAATTTTTTTATTAAAATTAAAATAAGCAAGCATTAATACTTTAATTAATTAAATTTTAAACTAATTAAATACCTTTTAATAAACGTTATCCTAATAAAAAATAATATCTTTTTTAATAAAATTATATAATAGCTTAATAATTTAATTATATTTCTTAATAAATTATTAAAAGAAGTTATAAAATTTTAAAAATAATTATATTACTTTTACATTAATTAATTTATTCCAATTATATATTATAACGGTCTTTTTAAGGTTAACTTTAATTTTATTATATTTTATAATAAATCTTAAATACTTTATTTTAATAATATAAAATTTATATTTTTTTAGGTTAGCTTATAGGCCTACCTATTAAAGCTACTTTAAAACTTTCCTAATATACTTTTAATATTTAATTAGGTTATTGGAATAAATTAAAATATTATTAAGATATATATTATAGAAATTATTTAAATATTTACCTATAATCCCGTTTATATACTATTAAAAGGTAGTTGAGCTATTGGTTAAATTAAATAATAATACTTTATATTTAAATATACCTATATAAGTTTTAAATATAATTAAATCTTTATAGTTTAAATATATATAAATATAATAAAATGCTTATTATATATTAATTTTAATAAAGATTTTTACTTTTATAATTTTTATTAAAGTTTTATTAATTAATAATAAAAAGTATTTATCCTTTTTTTATTAAAGCATTAATATATTCATAATTAATATATAATTGGAAACTACTATCTCTTTTATAAGCTATTAAAATAAAAGCAATATATAATATATTACTTAATATAATAAAACCTTTATATAGGTTATTAAGGATATACTTTTTTATTACTTTTAATTTTTTAAATAATATTTAATATAAAGGGCTATCGTTTAGATTTTTAATTCTCTTTCCTAATAAAAATTTAATATAATAATTAATTGGGCGGTTCGGAGCTAAGCTATTAAAATCTATTTTATTAAATATATATAGCAAGTTCCGGTATTCCTTAAGTATTATATCCTATACCTTTTATTATAACTTTTTATTCTTCCTATTAAAGAATAACTTAAGCAGTTTATTTTTATCCCTTTTTATATAGATTATTAAGTTAATTTTATTTAAATAGATTACTTATACCTTTACTTTATCCTATATTATATTATAGAAGAAAGGTGCGGTATTAATGGTAGAAATATTAATAAAGGGTTAATACTTATACCATTTTATTATATTTTTTTTAATTAATAAGAACCTTATATATTATATTCCTACTTTTTTAATAATAGTTAAATATTATACCGTAGGGGGTTCTTATCCTAAAGGGCTATTAATAGTTAATGGTTTATTTTATTTATATCTTTTATTTAAGGGTTAAAAATTATTAAAGGGCTTTTTTAATGTACTTTTTACTTTTTAAGGGGTAGAGGTAATAAGTTAATTAATAAGTTAAATAGGTAAATATAGGTTTTATTAAATACATTTTCCATT